TGTGACATTTGCATTTGTCGGTGTGATAATGGATCTTTCAGTCAGATACGATACATTATGGAACCGTTGAGCAAAGTCAGGATAGACTGTAGACGTAATTGTATGGATGGGATTTCCTGAAGAAGGAAGCAGTAATGACTCCGGAATCTCTATCCAATCAGTAGATTGGTTAGGAGGAAATGATTTCCCTTGCACATTTCCATTTCCCACAGCAAGAGTCCATTCGGTAAAGGGCATGCCACCAAAAGTTGACCTTTGACTCTCCCGGGAAGCAACCACACGCATATTTTCAGTTAAGTGCAACACAGTGCAATGTTGCCACAAAAAGGAACAGGTTAGAGATGAATCAATACTCTCTTCTCTGCCAGCATCAGCTACTATTGGAAGCGTTTGACGAAAATCGCCTCCAAGAAGAACAACTTTGCCACCAAACGGTTTATAGTGTGGACCACCAAACGGAACATCCATAATATCACAAAAAGCTCTGTTTACTGCCTCAAAAGACAATCTGTGAACCATTGGGGCTTCATCCCATATTATAAGCGATGCATTAATGATCAATTGAGCCAATGGCGTACCTTTCTTGATATTACATGAAGAACCATGATCGATTTCCAGTGGTATTTTAAACCGAGAGTGAGCTGTACTTGCATCAGGAAGTAATGTTGCTGCAATTCCTGAAGAAGCAACAACCAAAACTATTTTTCCAGCTTCTTTAAGTTGCGCAAGAATAGTTCTGTAGAGGAAAGTCTTGCCTGTTCCTCCATGACCATACAGAAAGTAGAATGTAGGCGAGTCTTCTGTTGGAGACATAACAGATTCCATTACACAATGAAAAGCTTCAAGTTGCTTTCTGTTAAGATCACCAACCACAGGAGGTGGGGAATCCACAGCAGCTAAAGTACCAGGATGTGAATCAGTTCCAAACTGAAGCAAGGGATCAGTTTGTGGGTGATCATCTGTTGGCAAGGGAAGGTTAAAATGAGATAACGTGGCTGAATAAGCATTTAACATGTGCTGCAATTCCCACAACAATTTATTTTTGGGCAATTCAGGTGGTATGAGGTTGTTGTTGAAGCAAACGTCTCGTTGGCACCTATATGTGATGTCTTCGCAAAGCAATTCCCATGTCTGATTGAAAAGCTGCAGTGGGTTTGATAGTTCACAGAACATCAGCATGGATACAAAGAGGTATCGTAACAAGCGGCACATGCCCCATTGGCTGACTTCTTTAATCACAAGTAACCATTCATCATCATTAGACAAAAGACCAAGGCGCTGGCACGCATCTTGATATGTTCTACATGGGAATCCATGGACTGTCCGAAGATCTGCATAACTAACTGACCCACGAACTTTGGTAAGAAGTTGTCCTGAGATAAAATGTATCACCACAACCTGGATGGATATAGACAATTCTTCCAATTGAGAACCCTCTTTTCCGCGGAGCCCATTTTTTTGTTTTCACATTCCATATATAACGATTCGGAGTCTCGGCATAAAGTAGATCCCTTGCAGTTGGATCTCGTTGGTTAAGGTTAAACCACTTGTGTCAATGTTGTTCTCTGAAACAGAATCGCGGGCAAGTATTCGAGACAGCCGTTGTTTCTTCCTATAAGGAACATAATGTCTCCCTTCAAGATGAACGCACAAGCGCTGAACCGGCGGCGTTCGTTCATGAACAGGAAATTCAAAGATCCGCCACGCTGCCTCATATGAAGACAGACTTCTACAATCAAGAAACTGTTTAATTTCGTCCAATGGAGGGATATGGTTTGGGGTAGCAGAATCAGATACAGACAAGCCAGCAGTTTCAGCAAGAACCATGGATCTATCAGGCCCTTTTGTAATGTACTTAAACAAATATTTAATCAAGCCGGCCTTGATGACAGACCTCGACATTGATATGAGCTTGAAACAGCACAAGTAAATTCCGATTATATGGAACGATAAACCGGTTGTCTAGTATAGATGTACCTTTCACTGCTGTTATACCTGTATCGCGACGGCGATAGACTGTATAGCCAAACTGGTCCGTTGTAGTTTCTGAATTAAACGGTTTTGGAAAATACTTTGAACACGATCCTTCTTTCATGCAAACATTGGTCGGATTATCTTGACCACACGGACCATGCAGCATGAACTTTGTCACAGCATCATACCCAATTGGATCTAGTAATGGATCTGGCAGTTCAGCACTAACAGTTGCATCAATATCAGAAGCTTGTCGTAGCTTATTCTTTGCATCCAACCATAACAGTATATGAACATGGGGCAAACCCCTTTTCTGGAATTCGACGGTTTTGATACCTGGAATTATAAGGCAATGGAATGTGTCATTTATGTTAGAGCACAAAACGTGAGGTAACTGAGGAAGTTTAGAGTGACAGGAATAGGAGAATTGATAACAGGCAATTGTAAAAGGAAGTAAGACATAAGGCAACCGAACAGACCTGCCACTGTTTGACCAAAGAAATGGCCTCGTGTTAATTCATCTTCCAGTGCATTCAGTTTCATGCGAAAGACCCTAGCAACAATCTCTGGTTTGAGTTCGCTGCGTGCACCACAGACAGCGCGAAAAGACTCTGTTATTTCTGGCCACTGGGAGTTGCACGTAAAGGTTATGAATAGGTCGGGGCTGCCATGATGGTGGACAACAGCCATTGCATCTAAGTACAGTTGCTTCATGTACCTAGGACTTCCAGTATGCGATGATGGCAGAACAACATGGCCAACAGCATCTCCTGTAACATCACCTCTGTTGAAAGCATCTGTAAGGCCATAGTATAGTTCAGAACGGAGGTTTTCTTGATGCGATCGTAAATAATAGAGTCGGTTTTGTTCAATTGTGGAATATGCATCAACCACGTAATGTTGAAGTGCCTTCCCACCTCGCATCAATGTCTGACCTTCGTCGTCTCTGTGCTGAAGCCGGTAAGCATAGTACTCTCTCTGAGTCACATGTTTCCTTTTCAATGTTTTGGGAGTATGAACAGGGTCATACGGTATGGTTACATGGAATCCATCTTCTCCGTATGGGAAAAGAACCGGAAAATGCAAAGCATCAAACTTCGGGTGTACACTTGTGATCCTCTTCAAGCCCTCTGACCGATGATCGATAATGATGTCTCGTTCTTCCTTATCAGGCAAGAAATCACCAGGAATGAGTCCAGCCAATTCTGAACCAGTTGGAAGTTCATATTGTCGAGATGTTGTGTCCCTTGCACCAACAATACGCAGTCTTAAATTGATTGATGCTGGATCATTCAATTCAGATCGAATTCGTCTAAAAGACTTAACTAATTCATTTGTCACGTCAAACAGCTTCATTAAACCAGAAACAATATCAGGACGCAGGGACCGCTCAGCAGAAGAGAAATTGGAGAGTCGATCTGCTAATTCGGTCTGCGGGTCAAAGACGTATAGCTGAGAATATTTAGGTCTCTGACCTGCAGCAGGAAGCAGAGATCCCATTCGATGATAATTTTCTCCGCAGATCACAAATGAATAAGGTCCTCGTGATCGTGTAACTCTCGGATCAAGGCGTGCTCCAAAAGATGTGAAAGAGAACGCAGCATTATAGGAGCGTATATGTTCCCTGAAGTGCGCTGCCATAGGACCGCCATTAACACCCAAGAGGTCTTCAAGGTACTGAGGAGTTTCCTGTAGGAATGGGAGGCGTACTCGACCCTTTTGACAACAAAGCGTGAAAACAGGAGCAAGAGATGCATGCCTGTTCAGCCGCTCTTCATACCAGAACCGTGCACCACAGTACTGGCATTCACAGTCAGGGAAACCATGATCGATAATCCGACTGAATCTTGCTTGTTGTGAAGGTGGTAGAGGTACATCAGCCAATGAACAATGACCATCCAACGCAACAGGAGGATGAGTTTGCGAGCTGGCTGTTAAGTCTTCAGGAGTTCTTAAGTCAAGTTCGGATGCGTCAAGTTCACCTTCTGAGTCAAGCAGTGGGTGCAAGCGTCCCCGTCTATCAAAGTTGCACACACGACGCCTCAGAGAACTTCTCGAAGGAGGTGTGGTAGGTACAAATTCAGTGGAAAGACCAATATGACGACGCTTCCTATTCGCTGAACGACCGGGTAGTAGGAGTTCAGCCTGTCTAGGAGTGGCCTAAGATCACACACTGACGTTAGGAAAAAAACAGGACCTGGAAAGTATAGCACAAGCGTAGCATGATATAGGAACACAATGGTAAATGTAGTAAGATAAAAGTAATAATTTGGCCAAACTAACCATGCCACGCATTCTGAACGGGTACAGTGGAATACAAACACTGGCAGATTTGCAGAGGAAGGCAGATACCAGGTAATAGTATAGCAGATGTAGCAGAGAATTTAATTCAATGGCCAACAGCAAAGACAGAATGAGCAAAAAGAAGCAGTAATGGGAAAGCAGTTATGGAAGAAGGCAGTCTACAGGTAAACGGTGTTTCCAGGGGGAAAGATCCTTCTCAAGAAAAAGTATAATAATACAACATGCACCATAGCAGGCTAGTCTAGAGAAGTGAGAAGTAATAAAGCCATCATTAGTGAACAGAGTAGTCAGAACAATAAATGCATGATGGCAATTAATAGAAGAGGAATAAGTTTATAATTTGGGTCTATGGAAGCTAGTAAACAAAGTCATAGTATTAGTGGACAATCTAAATATCTAGTTTCTGTGTGGCTGGTAGACACCATCTAAATACCCTGCAAGCGGAAAGGGTGTGCACAATGTGGTCCTCAAAGTGGCCATTTACAACAGACAATGGCCACCTGCGAATAAAGAGCAAAACAACTGGCTAACGAAGTAGATACAGGTGCGATGCGAATGCGGGTTAAACGGCAAAATTCCGCCCAACAAATGATGATACAAAGTAAACCAGTTCCTTAGCACAAACTAAAGATCAGTTGCAGAGTGGCGCGATACTATGCCACTTAAAGAAGGGCATGGCAAAATGTTGCTTTACGGTAACGACATAGAGCTGGTTAGAAAGCAGGTACGCAAGGGGTAATCTGGACAAAGAGGTAACTAATACAAGTAAAATGTCACAGCAGACCAGATTGGTAAAAGTGGTGCCAGTAATGGAACACCACAAGTTTGGCAAGGGCTGCAAATGTAGATACAAAAGGCAAAAGTACATAGTGCACTACTCACTAAAGAGTGTTTCCCTTTAAAAGTGACACAAAAGAAAGGGAGGGACAGCACTGCACAAACATGTTACATTAGCACTCGCATGATGCGAAGCATGGTCAATCAGCAAACAGTTGCTTCTTAGCAGGTTCCTTAGCAGACGACTTTGGAGTTTTTGGCTTCCTCTTAGAGGCATCCACAGATGCTTCAATGGCCTTTGCAGACGGTGTCCTAATTCGCTTTGCCCTCCCAGGATTAGTTTTCCCCACTGGAAGTAGCGGAACTTCTTGGCCAGCAAGAAGAGGAGAAGGCAAAGCAGAGTCAACGGTAGGAACAGGACAAGTCGAAGAGTTCTCAATAGCCTGTTCTTGCAGTGGAAGTTCAACGTCCAAGTCTTGCAATTCCAAAGGGACAACAGGTTCGTCTTCATCAGAAGAAACAACCAAGCGACGGCGACGTACAGGTGCAGGATGTATAGACACAGATTGCCTAGAAAAGGAGACAAAGGAAGTAGGTCTGTAAAAACACATCTATATGGAAGAACATGCACATTCCTATGCAATGCGGGAGCAACTTGCAAAGCACGAATAAGATAATGACTAACAACAAAGAACCCACTGCACAAGGAATTTCCCTACAGTAAAGACGATTATTACTTCAACTGTGGGAAAACAATTGATTTGAAGCTGACCAAGTAAGCAGAAGCCACAACTATTTGTTTATTTTGGTCTGTATAAACAAAAAAGGGAGAACATTCGTAGATAATTAGTATGGCCACTGAAAGGTAACATTGTATGTCTGCACATTGAGAACACGTGTAAGTTAGCGAAAGGCGAAGAAAGGGATACAAAAGGCCATCCATCGGCGATTGTATTTTATGGTGACAACTTAAAACCATGTATAAAAGCAGAAGACCAAATGTAATTGAAAAGCATTGGTTGCAGTTCTTTTTGCGTCAAAATAAGTATTCTGTGCAGACTGGAGCCCTTTTGTTATCAGGTTTAAAAGAGCACCAAAAGCATGCAAACTGGAATTCTAGGGAGCAGACAACACTGGCAAGCGAATAATTAGAACGACACATACTGTGACAAAGGCTGAAGTGTTGTTGTCTGCAAATTGACACCGAGGCCATTAAGATTTCCAGAGTCAGGATTCGCCGATTCGGTTGGCAAAGGATGTCCAGTAGGGATCTCAAGGGACGATATTGGAACATCGGTTTTTGCAAGAGTAACTGCAGGACGACGCGCAACACTTGGACTTCCAGTTTTCCTGCAAAAGTCCAACAAAGCTGTATAAGGTAAGGACAGTAAACCGAAGTACAATGCAGGATACTATGATAAGTAAAAGAATTCCAAGAGACAATAGTGGCGTATGCACAGTTAACAACCAACCAAACGAAATAACAATGGCGGGCACATTTGAAACGAAGGGTGCAAAAAAAACCAAAGTCAATTGGCAATATGCAAACAGAAGCAAGGTAAACAGGAAACTAAGACCTAATGTAGGATATGGTAAATTTGGTACAAGAAACATAGTAAGTAATAAAGGGCAGAGAGACTTCTTCTTAGCAGATGGTTTCTTCGGCTTCGCTTTCTGCGAACTAATGGTCTTGTTCTGCACAGTAGCATCTGTAGTGTCCGAAGCAAGTTCCCTGATACAGAGATGCTCAGGAAGGAAAGAAAGAGACACGTAAAGCTAGTAAGTAAGTTAACAGGAGGGAAGGTACTGTGGGGATCGCTGTGTTGCAGTTTCTGGGGGCACTTCCTCACTTCTAGGGCTAAGAAGCAGTTAAAACGGGTGTGCAAGAGTCATTGACAAATATAAGCAGGCGTTAAGTCGAACGCTTGAGGTAATACAGGAAAAGGCAAGAAACTGACCGCGCATAGGAAACAATCTCAGTACGACCAAGTTCAGGAGAAGGAGCTACGACACTGTTGTTGTAAAGAAACATGTCAGAAAACGACATCAGAACGTGTATAAGCAGCACTGAGCTAGCAAAGCAGACAACAAACAGACAACCTTCCCAATGCAGCAGATGAGGGTGAGGATACAGCAGCGATGCGCCTACTGGAACTTGACGGTAAACAACGCATGGAGAAGAAATGTCAACACATAGGGAAAGAGTTCGACAGCGTCCAAAGAAGAGCTTGTTAATTTTGTAAAGCAAAGTGGGCTGTACAAAAGACCTGTTGTAGGGGCGACGTGGAGGAGTAGAAAATGCAAGCTGAGAACTCCCACTGCAAATTTAAGAAGGAACCCGAGTTCAAGACAATCAACAACCAGCGAAAAGAGGACATGTAAAATTGAAGCATTACCTTGGTGAAGCAATAGAAGAACCATGGTCTACCGAAGCGGTCTGAATTGTTGGAACAACATATGGAGACGTAAGAGGCATCAAGTGAGGACTGCAACGGAAAGTAGCGATTAGTAATGAACAAAAGGGGACTGTTCCACAAACTGGAGAACACGGAAAAAACCTGTTAGGAGGTGGTGTATGGGGCATAGCATTTCTTGACCGGCGACTAAGAGTTGGTGAGCAGGAATTTGGCTGTTCTTGCTCATTGACAGCAAGGACCGTGAACTCTGGCGGGCCACGAGCCCCATATTCCGGTTTTGGAAGCTGGACGTCAAAAGTAAAGTCTCGTCCTTCAAGAGCCAGAAGTTCTTGTGGAAGAACATTGCGCTGGTAAGGAAACCTAGTAGAGAGATCGTTAGCAGTCAAGCCCACAAGAAGGTCAGCGGCCCTACCCAGCAGAACAAAAGCTGCTGATCCAGTGTTGTCATCAACTGTTACCCGAAGTTTGTAACTGCAAAAAACGTGTACAGGAGCGTATGAGGACACGAGAAATAGGCAAAAGGTATGGGGGCAAGAATGAAGAAAGGAATTACAAGTTCTGTGTTTGTTGAGGCACCAAACGACGGTGGTCATCACACCATTTGTCAACACCATCATAATCTATGGCTGCTTTGGAACAAAGCGCACAACCCAAGTAGTACCACTGCATAGAAGAATCAACCGAAACGATCCGACCAGAGCAATGGTAACGCGTAGACTAAAAAAAAGTAAACGGAAGAAATGATTAGACGGACAAACAAATGAAGTGAAAGGAACAAAAGCAGGTAAGTTGGAGAGCAAAAGGGGAAAAAACATACATCGGCAACAGGTGGAAAACACAAAGCAAGCAGTTGTGACACAGTCTTCGTACATTCAGCTTCGAAGGCCGCTGCCTCAGTAGGAGTTGCAAACCTCGGAGGGTAATATTGACATGTATTAGTGCTGGCAAAGAACCTAACGGAAGCGAAAGCAAGGAACGCAACAAATTAGCAGTAACAAAAAAGACAGCTGATGATGCGAAGGGAAAAACAAATATGAGGAGGATAAGAAAAGACATACACAGATTGGACCAGGTGAGCCATTTCAGAAACAGGGTTGAGAACACAACGTGTGCCTGGAGTACTGGTCAGAGAGTAACCTCCTACAAAAGGGGTGAAGGTAATAAGGAAAGGAGGAAGGGAAATGAAACGGAGAATAGTGCAGCGGTAAGGTACATGCAGACCTTTCGTAGCGCCAGTGACTCGCAGTGAGCAAACAGCAAGCATGACTGGCCCAGAACGACCAAGGACAGCCAGTTCCTGACCATTGAGATTCCGAGCTATATCACTCCACAGACTGATATCAAGAAACATGTGACTGGGCAAAAAAACAGCGAAAGTAAGTAACAAATGTAGCACAGTCGATAAAGCAGTGGTGTGCATGTGTAACATACTTTTCATTCTGAAGCACCAAATCACTCCGCACAGTGGTACCGAATGAAGTAACAGTGCTAGAAACGCCTGTGATGCTAACAACAGCGCCAACGACATCTGACAGAGGCACAAGCAAGAGAAGAGAGGAAAGGGTGGTAAGCAGTACAGTGCAGAACGGACAGCAAGAGACGTAAAGAATACAGGACAAGACCTGTCAGATAGACCGATGAACGTATGCGGGAATGAAGCGAGCTGAACGGGGTAAATTCGAACGCATCTGGCCAGAATGAAGGTGACGAACGGGTCACGTCTTCGAACTGTGTAGCAGCAGAGAGGACGATGGTCAACTTATGAGAGCAAGAACGATACGAAGGGGCCGGTGGCTTGACGCGGAAGTTGCTCACGAAATAAACGCTACCCAACTGCAGAAGCGGAGAGAAATGGCGCGTGAGTTCCGAAGGAGCCGTGCCCTGAATCAAAGTACCCTGGCCAGAAAAGAAACGAACATCAGAGGGCTGTAAAAAGAAGGGAGGCGCAAGATTGCATGGCAAAATAAAGAAGAAAGCAGCGCTGACCTCCTCATCATTCCACAGAGTGCAGTAGTTGAAGATTAATGTAGGATTCTTCAGCCCATAAGACCCCCACGCATGAAGGAGGCGCAGCTTCAGAAGAGTCTGAAGGCCATCGGAGTCGCTGAGGTCAAGAAGCAATTTATGGGTCACCATGGAAGAGCAATAGAAGAAAGCAAGCGAGCAAGCAAGATAGAAGAGGGAAAGTCTGTGAGGAGCATAAATGAAAGGTAGCAAAGCAAAAGAAGACTTTTGTGGGGAAAGGAACAGATGAGGAAGCGCCAGACCTGTCATTTCTCAGGGGAAAGGTGAGGAGTTCCGAAAACCGATAAGTTGCAGAGAGAAGAGAAGTCGCTGGCGAAGCAACCCAGGCTAAAAGCAGAGAGGAAAGAGAGAGAAAGCAATGATTACAGACGAGAACGCAGTAAAAATGTGTCAAAGAAAAACAGTGTTAAGACGTGACTCTATGAAACAGTAAACTTGTAACTTGTTCTTTTAAAGAGATAATATGTCATGCTGACAAATGACATGATATCCAATAAATACATCCAAAAAGCTAAGGAAAATCACTGCTAAATTAGAGTGATAATAAGTAACACCATCCTTTTTCCTCTTGAATTTCGTACTTATACACACATCTTCATACGTACCCATTTATTTTTAGGAGTATATCCCAGACCCAGAGTATTACCCTCAACGTATATTTGTATAACTATATTAATTATTCGATCATAATAAGATCGGTTACTAATCACACTCTCACATTTAATCAGCTGCCCACTATATAAAACCCTAATCCCTTCAATATCATCCCCATGCAAACCCTTAACCTGACCAACACCGATACCGGAGAGCATAACCGCCTCCCGGACGTCGCTGTGGCCGAGCCCCAAGAGATGTCCGATCTCATGCAACGCCACCGTCTCCAAGTCAAACGCCCCGGGGTTCCTGATCCCCCACCTCTCGTCCCCGTCGTAGTGAAACCTCCCATTCTCCGGCGCAAACGCGTGAGCCAACACGCCACCTTCTCCGTCGAAATCCGCCCCGTCCCCGTGGGCCCTACGGTGGAACCCCACCGTGATGTCCACGGTGCTCCCGGGGTCCCCTCCAGTCCTCTAGAACTCAAATCGCGTGTTCTCAGCCCAGGTCTGGAAAGCCCGCGATATTGGGCCCACCGCTGCGTCTGGGGTCCCCGGGAGGATAAAGTAGGAGAGCCTCGTCTTCGAGGCTCTCCACCTGGGCCTCCCTTCAAAGAAAGAGAAGTGAGCCACCGCGTGCAGCCTGTGGCTGTGACCGCGTCGGTTCTGCATGTAGTTGGTCCCGTTGATGATGTCAGCCACGCCACAGCGCGGGGACATCATGGAGGCCAAGGTGGCGGAGTCGAGAGCCCCCGTGGCGTTGAGGTGGTAGTTGGCCTGGTAAGTCTTGAGGGCGTTCTCGAGGCGGTGGTCGAAGTAGCGGTCGGTGGAGTGGTTGGAAGGGGAGGTTTGGTTGGTGTAGTCGAGGTATCCGAACTTGTGGAGGTAGGATTTGAGCTTGGGGATGTCTTTGAGCTTGTCGCCCTTGTGGCAGCCTTTGAGGTGTTGGAGGAAGGCAAATGGAGATGGTGGCGAGGTTGAGTTGTTGTGATGGCCGTGAGCGTGGGAAAGTAGTGGGAGAAGGAGGAGGCAAAGGGCTAGTGCGAATGAGGCTGATGATTTGGGCTCCATGTCCACTCACTATGGATTTCTTTGAAGGTAAGTATTTGGGGTTTGAGCTTGAAGTGATGCTAAACTGTTTGATGTATGGTGGATTTATAGCCCTTGGGTAGCAAGAACATTTGATACCCACCTTGATCTCTTCTTCTCCACTTGTGAGACGACTTAAAACGTAATGAAGGGTTAACTGAAAGAACCTTCTCTATCTTCTTGAAGAATAACAAACACTTAATTAAGATGAATAGTTCAATTTCAGCGTGTTGAATGGGCAGGGGGAGACCTCTGTCGGCAGGGGGAGACCTCTCCCGCCTGTGGAAATTTAGCTTAGGTAGACCCGGAGACTCGAGCACTGCAGGTAGGGGTGGCTATACGGTCCGATCCGGTTAAATTGGCCCAAATTGATCCGGTCCAGTCCGGTTTTTTTGAGAATATAAGGACCGAAGATTGGATTGGATACAGTCCGGTCTTGATCCGGTCCGGTCTTGACCCGATCCGGTCCCAATTCGGTCTTGATTTTATATCGAGATTGTGGGAATTTGAGTGGCCTAAGGCCTAAAAGGGTGAGGAGTTGGTTAAGTTTTGTACTAAGTGTAAATGTTTGTGACCGTTTATGCAAATTACCCTTAAGTTTTGGGTGTTGAGCTCTCTTATCCGGTCTTTATCCGCTTTTTTACCTCAAATCTAAGCCCAAAGATTGGATTGGATTGTTTACTATCCGGTCCCGATCCGATCTCGGTCCGGGTTATACGGTCCGGTTTCCAGTTTTTCATCCGGTCCCGGTCCAAATAGCCAGCCCTAACTGCAGGGTCTTCAGGTTGTCATTTTGCTTTCCTGACTAGCTACATAATTAAGTGATTAATTATTTCAATTACGAGGGAACTTAGCTCTCTTTGAGGTAAATTCCCTTTAGCCTGGTTGGCTCGTTACAATTAGAGGTGATTCAAGGCTTTTTTGTATGATTAATTCGTTTGAATAAATAAAGTAATAGTGAAATTGTGTTTCAATCACATTGAATTAAGAATTTGTGTAGAGTATAGGTATCAAAATGTAATTTGACGTATTTGGATAGATACTTGTATTTTATTTTATGGATTAGGTAGCAAATAATAATTTGATTAGTTATGTATACAAACGGCAAATGTAGTGTTCAGCTGCTTGCCATATTTCTTCTTCTAATCCAAATATCTTTTTTGCCAAAACCTGTGAATTCTAATCCGAAATTTAGCATGGTATCAAAGTCTCCATAAGAGCTCGTTTATTCTAATTGGACTTTTGTTTTAGTTTATAATTATATAATTTATCTTTTTAACCTATTAACAACAAATGATTTTATGATTCACAGAGATTAACGACATTATTTTTTGTTTTTTCAAACTCAAACTACAACAAGTGAATTTATAATGGGTAATTCTCTGGTGCAGTGACGGCACCACTGCCGCCACTTTTTTCTAACCGGTTAAGATGGCTGGGTTTCTGATTTATTGGGTAGCTCTGGTTTAGTTATTTAATTAATAAAACATAAAGAAATAAAAAAGTAAAAAAAAAAACAAAACAAAACGCAGTACAGTCGTTTCCCTTTCACTCGTTGTCCTTCCCTAATCAAGGCAACACTTTCGTTCCGTCGCAGCAATCCACCGCCTCGCTATTGTCGTCCATCGATCTCACCACCAAAATCCCAACTTCATCTGGCAAAATCACCACCGTCATCAGTGCCGTGGCCGCTTTCTGGTCATCGACAGCATCGTTCCTGCCGCGGCAATCCAGAATCACCATCACCATTGCCGCCGATCGGCCATAACCATCCAGATTTCGTATCCCCGATAGTCAATGTCACCACCGTCATCAAACCAATTGCCGCCGCCCGGTCATCTCATCATCGTCTCTGTTGTTCCAATCAACCACCGTTGTTGTCGGTGGTCGGCCATCACCACCGTTGTTGTTCCAATTAACCGTCGTCGATTCAATTTCCCCATCCATGGATACTCCAATCCTGAACCACCTTCAGACTGTAATCAAAGTCGTCCTGCCTGTCCCGTCATTCCCAACAACGTCCCTACCGTGGCAATTGATTATTATCATCGCCGTTGCCGTTGTTCAGCCACCAGCACGAAGATCGCCATTTTTGCAAAGAGAAGCGTCAAATAAAAAAGTGATTTTTTCCATGACAAATATACGCTACCGTTTTTGTTCCGATCAGTCATAAACATATATATAAATGATTTAAATATAAATAGGTTCAACCAGAGGTTTAACCTAGTATGGTTAAATGATGATTATTCATCAACGGTCATCATTTAATGCCCTTTAATCCAATGGTTGAAAGAGTGGCGGCAGTGGTGCCGTCACTGCATCGCAGAAAGCGCCATTTATAATATTTTTCCAAGATATTAGCGTTTCGGTCCACCAACTAGGCGATGCGTAAGTGTATGGCGCATGCATAATAGTGGTGGAAGTGCATAACACGTCCAAACACATGCAAATGCAAGAACAAACTTTCTCCAGCCGCCTGTGGAAAACAATGGCTAGCTAGGCCCGGCGAGTAAACTAAAAGACGAAAATAGAAAAACTAGCTTCGACTTAACGATGGATAGTTCAGGTTCAGCCGGCTTATAGAGGGTAGCCAAAATTGACAACATCAATATAAGAAGAGTTCAACTAATTAGCAATGATTCAGTTCAAACCGGACCGAACCAAACTTTGAGAAACGTTGTCCAAAAGTAAAAAAAAAAATAATAGGACCAAAGATCAGACCAACATTGCGTTTGGTCCAATGTCGTCTTGTCCAAATATCAATCTTGCTTGTTTTCCTTCAAAATTGATAAAATTCACAGGACCATGAACCATACCACATTATATATATTTGGTCGGTTTGATATGTCTCGATGTCCGTTTGGTCTGGTGCGGTCTGCTTTGGAACAAACGGTTGCACATCCTACCATATTGGTTTGGCTTCGGTTAAGTTTTGTTAGCCAAAAAAGAAAAGATGACCAAATTTTTTATCTGTTTTTTAGTCGGGTGAAAATTGTGACTATAAAAGTATATTTTGCCATTAAAAAAATATATTCAATCTATCTTTCAAGCATTTAATATTTATAATATATATTTAATAATTATTAAAAATATGATGATAAAATTAGTACCCCAGGCCCCAGCATATTAGGCTGCGACAACCGCACTCTTACAAAAACATTTTTGTGTCAAGGAATATTGATTGGTTGATCAGCCAAATAACAAAAGAATACAGCACATGTTTGTGTTTGTTAGAGCTCAAATTCCACCTTATTAATAAAAAGAGAATTTGTAACCAGGCTTCTTCGATAAACTTTTTCCCGTCAATTAAAGGAGCTGAGTTTATCTTCTAAAAACTACTTGTGGGTGTCAAAGTTGTAATCTTTCTTCGTGTCCTATACGGTAACGGTACCATTGCCGCATTAATGCAACGGGCCAAAAAACAAGACAAACCAAAACTGAAATACAAGAGTTTGAAATGGGAGCCTATAGCAATATATATATATAAAAAAAGAGAGTTTAAAATGGGAAAAAGATATAGGGTTAAGGGCATATGTGTAAATATCAACATAGGGTTCATACTATGATCTTTTAACAATTAAGTTGTTAGGTTATATCAATTAACCTATTTTTGGATCGTAAAAAAAAAAAACAAATTAGTCATAATTCCATGCTCACATTTATCTATCGTTTGAGACTTTATGTTTTGTTTTTCTTTTTAATTAATTTTTTAATTTTAATATCACACCTTTCATTTTTGTGGTGAATCCATCTTTGAGATTGGTTAGAGTATGAATGGTAATGCGCAGGTCCGGGGAGGGTATCTCGATACTCATACCCATTTCGTGGCATGTCAGGTCCATATCAGGTATTTTTATCACGTGGTGCGGGTCGGGGTAGGTCGACCTAATGGGTATCTAATTTATGTGAAAAACATTAGAAATATTCGTTATTTTCGTTAAAAGACCAAGAAAGAAACCATAATATGATGAAATGTAGTTAAATTATTGGAGAAATTAAGGTTTTCACTTATTTACAAGTTTATTATAGGTAAAATATGAGGTAATAAAAGAAAAATTCAAAATAATTTGACTAAGATTACATGTAATTTAGGAAAGAACGAGTCAAGAATGGGGCGGGTAGGGGCAGGTCAGGTCGATGGGTGGTACCCATGCTTGCCCCGCCCAAAAACTAGTTAAACAGGTCGGGTAAAATGGGCCAGATCAAAATTGTCATCCCTAAGTTAGAGGCTTAGTGCTACATATATAGAGAGGTGCAAAAGATAAATTTTCCAACTTCTTTGGTGCCTTGTGATGATCCATCGCTAAGTACTGACATACTTATACTAACCGTTAGTCACAACTACATTACCAAATTCAGACGAAATTTTGTCAATATAGAGACCAAAGAAGATTAGAGGATGTAATGAAAATTAACAAAAAGAGAACCTTGAACTTCTTTTTTATTAGAACTTGGTAGCGCAAGGACGTATTTATTAAAAAAAAACATCATACTACGCACAATGCCGGCAATATCAGAACCGGCCGAATCCCCGACCTAGCTAGAGTCCTATAAATTCTCCCATGCAACCTACTAAGGCCATACAATACAACTCTCAGAAACCAAAACCACAAGAAGAAAAAAGGGACGAAAGAAAGAAAGATCAAGAGTTATATATAATAGTAATATATAATACAGATCCATCGACCGATTCATCGCATGGAGCATTCTAATAAGAAGGTGGCGGCCGTTGTTGTTGCAGCGGCGGTATTGCTGGCCGTGTCGGCGGTGGCAGATGCGTACTGCAACGGCGCCGGGCAGTGCGGGGAGGGTTATTGCTGTAGTAAGGGCGGAGTTTGTGGAGACGGCCTGGAGCAGTGTTGTCCCAACTGGTGCGACTTTGATTGCGACAGAGTCTCTCGCCCCAACTGTCCTCCCCCCGAGGCCTATCCCAACTCTTTTACCAATACCACTAATTATGTCTCCGCCGGAAACGTTACGGC